GACGCCGGAAACGCCGGCGCTACTTCCCATAAGGTAGATTCCAAAGAGCCATGAGACTTCTAATCGTATCATGTCATCAGATTAGAATTCTATTTAATTCATTCATTGAATTCAAATGTTGAGTGACTGCTGCTGGTGGATGGGCGAACAGAAGAAAGTCTATATAGTATATACATTAGGTGCTGTTTTTGAAATTTAAAGACTCTAATTTGATTCGTTTTTATGAGAAATATTATTGCCTATTTTTTAAAGGCTATTTAGAAGTCGCGGCCTGTCGATTTAGGTCAGAAAATACGATTTTCTAGATGCATGAGTCTTGGATTTCAAAGAATTTTTTAAATTTTGACCATCGATAATTTCCACAATTTGAAAATATGTAGTACTAACGTACAAAAAACGATTTTCGATGGGCACCCTAATATACATATATCTCTATGTACTCAACAAATCCGTATGTACAAATCCGTATGTATAAAGAAATTTAAAGGTTCAGTTATTGGGGTAATTTATGTAGCTATCAATAAATTTTTGAAATAAGCTTATCAACCGTTATGTTAAATTACGGAGTTCTTACGATTTTTTGCGGGTTATATATTGAAAATAAGGTTGCCCTACTTTTTTCCAAAAGTTTAACCCATCAACTGCCACCAGAACGGGTAATTTTGACCCACTGTTAGAAAAATGGCTTATAAATGGTTAAAATTTCCACTAATATATTAAGCGCCAAACTTTTCTAAGGAGAACAGAATGTAATGCAAAATAATAGTAATTTTTACCAAAAAGGGGGACTTTAACTCTGTGTAGAAAAGATTGCGATGCGTGTGAGCAAAACCTTCTTGGGGTTTGATGACCACTTAGGAATACTAATGTAATTTTCACACAGCCACTTAGTTCTTGTATACGTCCGTGGGACCCCAGAATAAAGTAACTTACGAATGTAAAAATTAGCAAAAAAAGTGTTTGCTGTTTTATTAAAATTCTGTTTAAAACATTTAAAAAAACACACAGGAAAATCAACTAGTCTTTGTTTTATCTCCAATAATTGAGGAGTTAGATGCAATAAATGCGCTTGTGTTAAAACTGCTTTCTGAGATATTGGCGTTCATGTTTTTGATGTGTTATAAATTTCTTGTTACGGAAAAAATTGTCAGATTACCAGTATTTGACCTTAATTTAACTGTAATAAACGCTTTCGATCGAAAAACGTGTTACCTATGGTTTTCTGAGTTACGATTTTTTTTCGAAATGTTCAGTGGCCCAAATTATGCAAAATAAACTCCTTTTAAAAATGTAATCTTCATTTCGTAAAATAGTATTTTTATACGAGTAGTATTTAGTTGTTTCAACGATGTATTTCAATGTGCATACAACATGAAAATTTTGTACAAAATTCCTTAGGCGCCGAACGCCGCCGCCGCGCCGATATTCTCGTAACTCTCTGCGGCCCCTGAGAAATGACACTCTGTAGTAAATGCAAACGTTGTGGAGTGCTCAAACAACGTTTATAATTTCACTGACTTTGAGCGATGAGTAATACAGTTCAAGATGAATTTCTTATGACTCTTCACTCATCTGAAAAAGATCAAACATGTCCCTAAATCTCCGCCTTTCAACTTCCGCATCAGCAATCTGGGACTCGTTCTCCTCTTCAAGCAATAACGCCGCGGCTAAGGATTTCATTCTTATAATTATGTTTCCACTAAATTAAGAGCAAACGAAATTTTATTTTTAAATGCAGTGATGCTAGATATATTTAGTTATTTTAAAATATTTACAAACTTTAACTTCATATGCTGCTATAGTTTGGTGGCAAATATTTCTTTGTTTTGTTTTGATTTCACACATTCCTAGGCAAACAGCTGATTTCGAAAAATGTTTTCTCTCTTCCTCTTCTTCTTTCGTTTCGATCATAACGCAGAATGCCTAAGTTCGATTCCAGCGGAGCGGAATGCGGGAACGTAATCGAAATGCAGAATAGGGCTGATTATCGCTGACTCGCCAGTAGTGAGTACAGACAAAATTTGCAATATCAATTCCTTTGCCTTGACCTTTCGTTAGCGATTATCTGGTGTGAAATTGGGGATTACCAATCGCTAGCGAATTGCCTAACAATCGGCCATGCATCGTCGTAGTTAGCTTATGGTCGTATCTTGTCGCCGGTAGAACTAAAGGGTAGTGCATTTGTGCATGCATACATATTTCTGCCAATTTGATGTTTCACGGTCAAGTGATAGTCGAATTGCTGTTGCTTTGCTGCTGCTGGGCTGTCGTTGTGCTTTCACAAATTGTTTTTTTAACTGTATGGTTGCTTTCGAAATTTTACAGCAAAACTACAGCCAAAGCATTTGCTTTTTTCCGAATTGCTGTTGCTTTGCTTTCGATATCATACATGCCCAAGTCAAAGCACAGCAAAAGTAAATCAAATGAAAAAATTACAGCATTTTCAAACCCTGGAAAAAAGTCTTCGCTTCCAACGAAATGTCATTTGTAGATCAAAATTTTGCACTAAGAGAAACGTAGAGAGAAACAAAAAGGAAATACTCTATTCAATGCTCTTCACGTAAACTTTTTTAAGACTTGAATATTTACGTTTTGAGTGTTTTGTATGACTTTTCTATATTCTCAGAGAAAATGCTCTTCATGGCTCTTCACGTAGACACTTTTGAATTTGGATTTGAGTGTTTTGTATACATTTGGTCAATTCATAAAGGAATTAGTATGTTCAAGCGCTCCGAGTAAACTATTTTGGATTTTAATAGACAAACTGACTTAGTGTCTTTGAATAGACATCTTGCTGTAGCGCCATATTTTTTGTGTATTTTAGGTAATGACAAAAAGTTTTTTAATTTTAAATAATATAAATATAAATAAATAATATAATAATATTTTAAATAATTTTAAATTTTCCCTTTCTTAACTTTTTCTGAATTTCGATGACAGAAAACGATTCATTGCCCTATTAATTATATTGAAAGCCATGACTCAAGAATACAAGGCTAGATAATTATTGACAGCCGCGGTTTGACACTCCGTTACAAAATGTTGCATTTACGAAGAACAGAGAAAGGGGAAGAATGCAATCCCTTGTTGTGAAAATTCTAGTAGAAAAGTCCGCAAAGTAGGCAATTAGTAGTGAAATTCCTTTTGTAAATTCTAATGTATTTGCAGGAAATCTGGCATTTTAAATTAAATAATGAACGAAATATTAATATATCTACGTGAATTACGTAACTCATGTGCTATTTAGCTGTATAAAAACTGCAAAATGACTCAAAATTAAAATAAAACCACTATGAGATTTATGTAAACATCCAATTTAAAAAGAATTTATGTTTTCATCAGTTAAATGTGCTTCATATGCATATACAAATAAACATATTGCACAAAAGCTCATACTTTTTTCACAGCAAAGCTACACTTTTTTCAAGTAAATTTGCAAAGAAGCAACACGGTGCCATTGCTAAGGGAGCGGTGCGAGAGAGACAACTGTCAGTTTATTGAACCTTGTATTATAGAATCATGATTGAAAGCCACATTTTTTAATTTTTTTTTTGATGTTTATTGAATAAATGAGTTTTTTTACAAATACGATTTTCGAAATTGTTTAATAAAAATTAAGAATTTCGCAAGCGCGTAAGTTTTAGCAAGGGTAGCGATCCCGATTTTACCAGAAAACTCGTTGCGTTCATGAAATTACATTCAGGAGAAATGTCGAACAAATTATACAAAGTCCTTTAATTATTATTCAATTGACATTTCCTTTCATAAAATATTTCAGGAAGAGAAAACTATTTCAGTTCAGAACTACTTCTCCATCGAAAGATATTTTAGCATAATATTTTACCCATATATGTAATACTTCTATATTGGCAGTAAGCTATAGCTTCTCAATGTGTAAGCATTCCGAAATCAAAGCGAGACAGTCTAGCATTGTTTTTGTCAATGTATTGTGTACTTGAGTGCCGTTTTTGTATATGTGTTGTGTACATGTTTATTTATAAACGTATGTGTTCCTTTTCTTTCGTACGTGTTTATTGATATATCTGTACTGTAGTGTTTTCGGACAGTAAGAGCTAGACTGCCAATATAGGAGTATTACATATATGATTTTACCTTTCAATTTATATTTTATACTTTTCAATTTGCAAAAAGGGCTTCACAAAGTGCATCTTTAGAACAAAAGCTGATGTTGCAGACTTCTGTATGAGCTTTAAAGAAGAGACAAATTTTGCTCTTTTATTAGTTTATAAATTGTATGTTGGTTGTTTCATAAAGTTAAGAGTAGTCTATAAAATATCCTTATAAAACATTTGAAGGTCTTATAAGGCGCTAGCCGCAGAACTTTTAATCAGTGTCAGACCAACGACTCTACACAAAGAGCCTTATAACACTTTTAAATGTTTTATAAACTCATGTTATATACTACTTTAAGATCTTTATAAAATCACCAACATACGATTTATAAACTAATAATAGAGCATTATTTTGTACTACGAAGCCCTGCCTCCTGGGGCCCTTTTAGTCTTATAAGGGTTTTATAGATTGTTTTATAGAGCAAAATGGTATAGCATTAGTAATATTGGTAATAGAAAAGTTCAGCCGCTTATCAATGGTTTCTTTATGTTTTTTTTTTAATCTTTGTAAATACCCGAAAACGTGTAATTTTAAAGAAAACNCAGCCGCTTATCAATGGTTTCTTTATGTTTTTTTTAATCTTTGTAAATACCCGAAAACGTGTAATTTTAAAGAAAACGGATTATGTTTTGATCAGTTAATTAACTCCAGATATTGTAAAGTTTCACCGTTAAGTGGTGATATCTTTAAAGCTCCATGACAGAAAAAGCGTGGGCTTTCGAACTCAGTTTCCGATCTTGCATGTGAATAGAATGACCCCGTTTCCGTTTTTTTGGCTGTAAATTAGTTTTATTAATAAATTGATAAATTTGTTGCATTGAATTTTCATCATTTTGGCTCTTTGATTAGGCATATCTCCAATGGTGACCTACAAGAAGATTCCACGAACAAAAGGAAGAACAAAAAAGGAAGTGACGAGAAGAAAAAGGACGATGTTGGATTTTTTGAAATGTTCCGGTATTCGACGACCAAGGATCGACTTCTATATGCAGTCGGATTTATTTGTGCGATAGCGACAGGCTTGACAACACCGGTCAATAGCTTGATCTTCGGCAATTTAGCTAATGTGAGTAGTTATTAAAACTATTGTTTGCTGATAAAGCTACTTATCAAGATACTTTGCAAATACACCTGTGTATATGTACTGCCATGCATATATTATTATTGTTTGAATGTTTGTACATATAAATACATATGTGCATACGTGTGTACATAAATATGTATATGCAAATATGCAAGTAAGTTTTTATTTAAAAACTGATTGAGCAATGCGCTCGCGTATCTTATCTCTCTTCAAACTTCTTAAGCTTGCAAAAGTCGTTGGCGCAATATTGCATTGATAAATATATACGCTAGGCGACAAATTAAAGTGCACAGCTTGTTCTAATATAATATTCACATTAATTTTCATTAACAATTTTTTTGCATCAATTATTTATGCAAATACAGTTGATTCTATAATACAAACCCTATACATAAATCAAAGTTTTACTCTCCATATAAAGATCAGAAAAATTAAAAAAAAATTTCATCAAAATTTTCAACTTTTTATGCAGAATTTCTAGAAATTTTTCGAGTATGCAAATTTGTAGCTCACTTAATTTTAGTGAATAAAGTGCAAGCTTCAATCCGCTAAAATTATCGTTGAGTTTTTAAAATTGTTTTATAAAGGTTCTTGCAGGTTTCTTCCGCAGCCACCTCTGTACGCGACATCTAAGAATTTGGATGAAAGTTGAAAAAATTGAAGGTCTAGGTGACATGAATATACATACGTGCAGCATATTTTGCCGATATGATGTAGGGTTGCGTATTAACACGGGACATAAATTTTAAGAAAACGTCATACATACCTTTCTTTAAAGTGCTGTATCTTGGAAACTGACGATACTTACAGGCCTATTCTGCGTTGGTAACAAAAATTTTGTTACCCGTTAGTAAAGTTACTGTCAATTTTTAAACCCTTTTCGTATTCTCCACACTCTTGTAACCGGTAAATTTTGTTACCATCTCATGAGCAGGTAACAAAATATTGCCCCGTGAAATATGCAAGACCAGAATTTACACAAAACTCCATAGCTGAATAGCTGAATAAATTAAAACGTTACCAAGGTAAATAGAATTGCGGGTACAAGAAGTGGTGACAATTGTTGGTAACAGAATTTGCTTGTTACAAAATGTTCGGTTGCAAGCAGAATACGCCTGCTAATGAAATAAAATGTATTTCTTCCGCCTTATTATGGGCTTTAATCATAAATTTTTTACTATTCTTATTGATCTTTGTACCACGATTTTGTTTATTAGGGAAAAATTGAAAAAGCAACAAACTCTAAGCGGTAGAAGTTATAGCAGCAGGGACCGTAACAGTTACAACTTTTATTAAAAAAATCGCTCTTTAACTATTTTTTTTTACTTTTATTTAATTACTCTTTAAATAACCGTTATTTCTGACTTTTATTTTATAAATCGAAAATAACGATTATTTTTGATTTTTATATAAATAATCTGCAAATGACAGTTATTTTTGATTTTTAAATTATATGTCTTAGATAACAGTTATCGAAGACTTTTATTTATAAAAGTCATAAATAAAAATCAGTCACTGAGTTTTATTTTTTAAATCATACTTATAAAAGTAATTTCAATAAGTTTTAGTAAACTTTTGTTTCCCAACACCTTTTTAGATGCGAAAAATGTTAAAGACTTTTACACGAATGATTTTAAAAATAAAAGACTGTGACTGATTTATATTTATGACTTTTAAAAATAAAAGTCGTTGACTGATTTTTATTAATGACTTTTATAAATAAATGTCTTCAATAACAATTATCTAAGACATATAATATAAAAATCAAAAATAATAATTATTTTGGATTTATCATAAAAAAAATCAAAAATAATTGTTATTTTTTTCATTTTGCGTAAAAATTGAAAATAAGAATTTATTTTCAAATTTGAGTCTCGGTGAAAAAAGAAATCGATTGGTATGTATCACTTAGTTGTAGAACATTTCCTTCATAGTGAATTTTTCCATGACAGTTTTCATCAATAACTGTTATGTTCGCTCCCTGAATTGCACCCAAAAATTTTGAATTTTTTATTAGGCATTTTCTTCAATATTGTCATTTTAATTGTCGAGCATACTTTATATCGAAGAAAATGCACAAAACCGTCAGCCAAAATACATATTTTTTAATAAAAAGTTTAAAATTGTTTGTTGTATTTATTAAAGTTTGTTGAATTTTTATAACTTTCGTACCAACCTTGAAATGTGGATATGTTGTGCTGGTTATATAATGTGCCAGACTTTCATACAAAAATTATAAACATTAAATAGACAAAAGCAAAATAGCCAAAACTGGCCAAACCGTTGCTTATCTTAATCAGCTGACCACAAGGGTCTTACTATAAAGGAGCATATTGATGTGTATCTTTATTTTGCTCCATACAAAATCAGCCCAGCCTAATGTACCTATTGAAGTAAAAATGTATGTGTTTTTTATAAAGCAAACGAAAAAGTTAAATAAATATAAAAGTAATTTTCTTTTTCATATTTTTAGTCAATGATCACTTTTGGTGCTCCAGGAAACTACACGCGCAGCTCGGAAGCGGAATCGCTTTTGGATGCAGTCCAAACCTTTGCATTTCAAAATAGTATGATCGGCGTCGTGATGCTTGTGGGCAGTTACATATCGATAATGACATTCAATTATGCCGCTCAAGCGCAAATAGTTCGCATACGAGGAAAATTTCTTAGGTCAGTACTGCACCAGGATATGGCGTGGTACGATTTTAACCAGAGTGGGGAAGTGGCGAGCAGAATGAACGAGTAAGTACAACACCATTTTTTCTTCTTCTTGAATGGAAAGGCATTCGGATTGTTCTGTGACTGGAAAAAAATCATAACTCAAAAATGGGAGAAAAAGGTTTTATAAGAATAAAAAAAAATAAAAACTTAAGTCTGTCGCAAGAAATTCCAAGCTTTAAAAAATTATATTAAAATACTTTTGCTTTGCTAATTTTAACTTTAAAACTCCAAAAATTTTATATTTTAAACGTACAATTTTACCTCTAAACCAGTAATTGGTACAAACTTTCCCGTTTAACCACTAATAGAGCTGCACAACTTTGGTAGTTATTTTGAAAACTACCAATAAATCGTCGATAGTATAGTATATGGTTTTCGCCCAATTTTGAAGTGAAGACTTGTATACAAATGCAAAGTGACGTTTGTTACGTACTGGACACATTTTTTAAATGCTTAACAGTTAATTAGATTTAAATACGTCCTTTGCCTAAAAAACATTTTTGTGGACCTATGATATGAAAATGATTCAATAATAAGTGTAATTAGTTTTTTTTTCTCATATAAATGTCTAATTGTGATTAAGTCTCGTGTTATCTTTACTTAAATATAATTATAACCGGTTTTACTAAGAAAATACTCGTCTGTGCGTTACATGATCTCATATTCATTATAAATAATTTTGTACAAACTTTGAAAATGAATTATGACTAAGGATTAAAACAAACGAAAAAAAATGTACAAAATTTGTTTTATAATTTTTTGTTTAAGGTAATTTATTTTAACCGAATCTTAGCTTTTTCTAGCCATGCATCAATTTAGCCAAAACTTGCTACATGCTCTTAAATTTGAAAAGGGTGGAATATGAAAAATATTTTCATCGCGATGATCCTATTTAAATTAAATTGGGTGTGTATATTTTTTTTCAATTCATAAACAAATTTTACCTGTGTGTGTAGTAAATATACTGGATCACAATGTTTTTTTGTTCGCCGGATGCCACTATCCAATTCCTTTGCAGAATCGATCGTTGATTCCCAAAAATAGGCAATTTTTTTTCTGTGGATAAGTTGTCGAGATATTTTCAATTTACCGTTTTTCAGCTTAAAAAAAAAAAGTGGTGCCACTTAATCACGAATATATTACGAACCAATTGAACAATCGTAATACAAAATAAGTCAAATAAAAACTAACAAAATTATATGTTAGAGCTGCAAAAACATCGATGTTTCAAACTATTGATTTTTCCATGTTTTTGCCAATAAAACATCGATAGTATTGATAAGCACTATCGTGTTTCTGAAATCCTGATTTTTTAACAAATAACATTTATTATTTTAAAATTATCCATTAATTAGTTTAAATTTTAATTTGACTTATATCTAAGGTCACATTGAATATTGCAAGTTATTAATTAATTAAACTAAAAATCTAAAATAATATAAAAGTATTCATAAAGCAACACCACTTTTAATATGCGTTATATTAATAATAAATTAAATATTTGCTCTTAAAGCCTGTTAAGTCTGCTTGTTCTGGATGGAAGTCGTGGCGGGGCAAGCATGCTGGTAGCCCGGCTTGAGCTCGTCGGCCTACGGGGTGGTTCTTGCCACCACTCCCAACCTACACCCATCAACAAAACTTTCATGCTTGAAAACCATGGACATGAAGAGAGGAAGAGATAGAATGCTAAGCGGTAGAAAACAGTCCGATTACAATATAAGAAAAATATTTTTTAAAAACAAGCTTTTATTTAACATGTACAATCAAAGGAATAAAATAAAGTAGTGTAACAAAAGATTTTTTAGCAAGAAAATTTTGTCAAACTGCACTAAAATTAATAAAATAAAATAAGTTAAGGTCTCGTTAAAGTTACTAAAAGCCATTTAGTGAAAGGAGTTATTCAAACTCTAATGAAAATTACTAACAATTTGTACTAATTTACTTCGTTTTTAAAAAAGCTTGTCGGCGAATTCAGCGTACATGCATAATTGGTTAGGTATGTATATATGCCGAAATAAATAAACTAAACTCAGATGATTCTATCTGGGGTTCAGATGAAAATAGAANATGCCGAAATAAACTAAACTCAGATGATTCTATCTGGGGTTCAGATGAAAATAGAAACATTTCTATTTCGTATGTACGTGCATCCTTGACAATGTTTAAAACGTTCAGTATTAACGTTTTAATTTTAGTACTTTTTTTAATTTGATCGCCATATTGGATCCGCCATTTTGAATTAAAAAAAAAATGGACTTCAGATTCGTAATCGGCGCCCCAAAAACTCTCGAGTGCCGGGTTTCGAACAAATCCAATCATTAAAAAAAAATTTATCGCCATTTTGGATCCGCCATTTTGAATTTCGAAAACCTGACTTCAGATCCGTATTTAGCAACTCCAGAAACCCCCTGGTAACAAGTTACAACCCATGACAATGCGTAAATCGTTCAGTATCAACGTTTTAGTTTTACTAGTCTCTTTTCGAGAGCATATTTTCGGGCACTAGGCCCATTCTAACTGCCCAAGGCAGGTATGTAATTAAGGGAATGTTCCCCAATAATACCAGAGTAATTATATGTAAAAAACCAATTTTTAGGTGCATTTTAACATGCCAAGAAAATAAAAATAAATAAAATTTAAAAAACTTTTTAATATACAACGCTTTTATAAATGGACTAAAAAGTAGAAAATAATATTTCTCAGTCCCAAACAATTTGTTTTGATAACTTTTGATTTTAAAATTTTAGCAAAATTCATTATAAACAATTGATGCCATTGAAAACAAAATTTAAATCGGGCATACTTATAATTTCTTCTTCTTCCTGGTTAATATCCTGTTAAAATGTATAAATACCATATCAAAATATTTTATTTCTTGAACCGCGATATAAAGTGCGGATGTAAAATGGGACTAAAGTTATAAAAAGGAACCTAAAAACCCTCAAAATATGCATTCAATTTCGATGTCTTGGTCAATAACTCATTCACTTAATACAACTTTTTCTACCGTTTTCATCAGAGTTTGTTTTAAGTTTCATGTTTTTATGGATATTGAGTATCATCCTGAAGTAATTTAAATCAGGTGATCTCAGATGTGAGACGTTTCTGAAAAACATCCGATTCTGTTCTCACTTGTAAGAACGCACAATGCCTGAGAACCCCGGTTAGAATCGCTTCTGGCGCATTTTCTTTTTTATTTTAACCAAGCAGTCCCTTTTTATACCAGTTCTTGTCCTGGTGAAAAATTTTTTCGCCGACTACAATCGCCGAGTTTACCATACCTAATGTAACCAACTATTTCATAGCCCAAAGAAATACAGGTAAGGTTGGGTTAAGTTAGCGCCGCGGGCCGATTACGAAATTTCTAATGCGGCTGATTTCGATCCCTGAGAGCTCAGTGTTTGTTCAGAAGTGCGAGCCAAAATGCTTCCATCTTAGCCTCGCGAAGGTTGGAAAGGTTAAAAGAAAGTGTGGAGATGATTCCACTTCATCTTTCTCTTGACAGCGGATAAAACAGTGATCAGTTGACATTTCTAGTCTCACCCCATGAATACCAATCGCACAATGGCCTGTCAGAACCCCTATCACTAGCCCTTGCGTGTTTTAAAGTGCCCTATAAAGAATTTGCTGCAGCAGAGAAATGCCTTCTTTTCCTTGTTTTATGTCACAAAAGGACCCGGTTTCCCTTATCCCAGTATCAGATCGTGCTGCGACAACAGTACAAGACAATCGACACCTTCCTTGCCCTTTCTGCAATGTAAGGCTTCCACGACAGCCGCCGTTGATCGCCCACCTAGTTACCTGGTTCAGGTAACCTTGAGCCAGATCAAAAAGAGTGTCTAGAAATCGTTCCACATCATCTACTATCTACTATCAGCTATCACCCGACAATCCATTTTTTTTTAGTTTCTCTAGAAGGTCGTTTACAACCGCAATCCAGAGCAGGGGAGAGAGAACACCACCTTGTGGAGTGCTCCTAATGACTCTGCACTGAGTGTAGGCGCTCGATGAATTTATGATCAGCCTTTGTACTAGCTCGATCCATAGTGCGCTCCCCCACTCCGCCGCGACATTTCTGTCACGAAGTAAGCTTTAGATAAGTCTTATTAGGTTGGTTTCAACCCCCATATTATGAATATACTTGATTATTGCCTCTGGAGTGACATTGTTGAAAGCCCCCTCGACATCGCAGAAGGCCCCTACTGCATAATATTTATGGTAGTCACCGCCTTTTTCTTGTAATAAGCGTATTGGGCTCTTGACAGTAACGAGGGATCGCGTTTCTTATGTACAGGTCTAAAATACCTAATACATGTGCGCCTTTTCCGGCCTTCGGGATGAACGCAACACTGACTACCCTCCAAGCCTTGGGGATGTACCCGGTCCTCCGCAGTTCGCATAAATATGATCCAACCCAGCAAACATTGAGGTTAGTTATCGATTAGAGAATGATTGAAGGATTAGCCAAAATTACGTTAGAGAACGACTCGAAAAACTATCGAGAATTATATCGGTCTCCGGCGACTTTAATGGTGTGAACGAATTTATCGCCCAGGCCATGTGATGATCGTCCAGAAGATCGAAGAAGTACAGGACCTGGGGGGAGATTCTGAAATCAGTTAGCGGCAATTTTCGAATCCCTATCACAATTTTTGACGCAAAATCAACTGGTTACAAGATTTTCCTCCTGAAGTAAAATATCGCAAGGAAGCACATTTGACTGTACTTCGAAGTACGAAGTACAAGAGCGAAAAAAGAAGTACTGTACTACTGTACTTCCGAAAGAAGTACGGTTGGTCACATTAACCATACCGACATCCAATCGAATTCGACGTTGCGTTTTGAATGAAAAAAACTCTTCGATTGATTTGACGTCGTTCGATTCGTACTCGTCCTCTTACTTTGACAAATTAGTAGTGTTTTGTTTTTGTGCTGCCGCTACCACCTTGTATAAATTCGACTTGGCGTGATCTCTGCTTAAGTTCATGTTTTTGCTTAATGAAAGGTTATCTTCAAAATAT